AGCCATGCTTAGACTCCCAGGAGTCCCAGCATGGCTGGGATCATGCAGCTTGGCTTCCAGCAGCAGCAGTGTCGGGAGGGGGGCTTCTGGATGCTGCTTATATACCACTCCATACTACTTATAGTACTCCTAGTGGTTTACAATGTAATTACCATATGCAAGTTATACATTGCCCCCCTCTCCAGTGAGCTGGGTACTCAATTTACTGACCTTGGAAGGGTGGAAGGCTGAGCCAACCTCTAGCTGGTTATCTGAGCCTGTTAGGATCAAGCAGGTTGTGAACAGGGTCTCGACTGCAGTATTGCAGTTTAATCACGGCACCATACACACTGCAATCTATTGTTTTGATTAGGGTCAAAGGTAAATCCTGAACTGTGAGGTGATCATGGCATTAGGGATTTTTCAGTGCAGCCTAACATACTTTTTCATTACGTTAGACTGCACAGGGAAGCCATTGAAATCCACAAACACCAGCTGCATCAAAAAAGAAAGTTTAAAGCTCAAAAAAGCTTGGCTCCCAGCACTGAAAAATTCAGCCTGCAAAAGGTCAACAAACTCTACCCAGCCACAAGGACCGGTGATCACTACACACAAAAGACCAGCTAATGACACTGATCAATCACAGTGACAGATAATCTTTCCTCCTTATCACAACAATACACCCACAACAAAAACACACTGCTCACCATCATCACCCTATCTCCAAAAGGACAAAAGCTGATCCCACAGCTATATATACTCAAGTCCCAAACAAACTGAACCAGAGTACAGAGTACTACTCCTATCCTCTGAAGATGCCGGCCACAGAGACGTTAGGAAGAACGACCTTCAGAACACAGCCAAAGAGCCCGAAAAACCCACAACAACCATTAGAACCCGGCCGTAAAAGCCTTCGCGAATACAGTATTCTCCAGTCTTGGCATTTTAAATAAATGCATGTGCACATCCACATATATAAATGCATGCATGTGCGCGCATGCACATACACACCAAATCAGTGAAACTTCTTGTTTCCCTGACATTGTTTGAATACTTGAAATTATCCCCAACTATACATTTAAAAAAAATGCACAGGTTATAGCATCCATGCAATTCACAAATCTTTGTTTATTTGTGAATCTCCCTCATCAATGTAAATAATTTTAACAATGTTTATGCAAACAGAATTTATTGCATGCTGGATAATCTGTGGCCTTTTGTGTTTTTTCCCACCATGTTACTCTTTTTTCAACAAAAAAGTATTTTTAAATACGAAATGTATTATTAATATGGCATTATATTTCACAGCAATTTTATCTCTGCAAATGTCTTGACTTCGGCAATGTGCAATGTTCTTTCCTATACCACACACCATCAACACTCAACCAAAAGGAAGAAAATATATGTGCCATTAGTTGCAAACTATTCTCTCTTTCAATTGCGATATTATTTAATCATGTAACAGAGTGCAATCCTGTACATAATTAGCATGAGGAACTCTCACTGAATCATTGGGGAGTATCTGTATAGATACTCATAAGATTAACTGATGCCAGAACACAAGACAGTACATGTAATAATGACCTAATACCAGTAATCACCAGGCTAATCCACATCAATGATTTTTCTATGGCGTATTTAACACATGTGCCTTTGAGGAGTGAAGCTCTTTTGAAAATATCCTTGACTATGATATGTGACAATCCACAATGGTCAACTGTCTTTAACAGCATGAGGGCAGAGTCTTGCCTTATTATTTTACAATGAGCTCTGATGTTGTTCCAAGCATCTCAATACAAACGTGGAAGCAAGTTTTCATCCACTTTCCCAAGGGTGGGAATTTGCTCTGTCACTGTGAACCTTGGAAAATAATGAGATTGACTGTCCCACTTTTTCTGGGCCCCTTTATGTGGAAAAATATCGGAAAAATTCAACCCTAGGGGTCAACTGGCAAGTACATATATTCATCCCCTATCTTCTTGGTTCTATCCTTATGAGCTACTGGGAGAGAAGACTCCTGAGAAGCCAAGGAAGTTCCTTACAAAGATCACAATCCATCTGGACACTCATGCTGGGAGTCTTGCTTGTCAGCAGGCATGAGGTCCCCATTCAAATGTCCCCCTCCCCCCCTTTATACAGGTATTCAAAATAGTACTTGGTCCAAAGAGTTACTGTCACAACTATTCAGGTAAAGATGCATATTGTTTGCTTTGAATTGGCCAATCCACAGTGGGCTATGCTCTGCTTCTGCCTAATGCCATGATCACCTTGAGGAATAAATAACAGGCCCTAACTTTTAGTTTTCCCTATCCTTAGGCTTTGGTCACAAAAGTGATGACAGCAATTTACAACAAAACGGGCAATGCGTCACAGAGAACGCTACAGTGTTTCTCAAGTGCCATTCTAGTGGAGAAGTGAAGGAAAAACATGTCTTTATGAAGCTTTTCAGGACACATCGCTGTAGTATCAAATATGCAGGAAAGCATACAGCAACATTCTTTCTAAGATATTAACAAAAATGGCTCTGAAACAGCTGACATCTAAAAGCCATCCGCAGGGAGGAGCCATGGAGAGTTCTTTTTCACCAGATAGCATTTCAATTCCACTATTTACTTGAACAAGCCAAGACAATTTTCCTCAGCATGTTTAATAATGGACAGGAACAGATATACCACAACATTATCTCACAAAAAAAAAACTGACTAGAAAAAATGCCACAGGGATAATGCTCTAGAACTAGATGCTCTCTCCTTTACATTTTATTTATTTTAAATAAAATAAATTTCCAAGCCCCCTATGAGTTTGCATGGCTCAGCGGGGATTTGAATCCTGATCTCCGAAGTCCTAGTCTGCCACTTTATCCACCAGGCTGCACAGAGTATCACATGGCAGGTTACTAGAGATTCAAGTATTCCATTTTCCTTTCACAAGTACCAAAAAGGGATAACCCTTCATATAAAAGATACACAATTTAAAATCAATTTCTAAGAATCTATGAATCTAACAATAAAAAACGTTTAAATATGACACATGAGTTACTTCTCCACAGGAAAGCAATGTAATTTGAAACCAATAAGGCAGGAGGCAAAATATTGTATATCTGACACTGCAAGGTTGAATAGATCATGATTCTAGCTTAGCAATTTATCCAAGAACTCATTACAAAAATCAGACACAATGGATTGTTCATACACTTAAAAAACTACAGTCAAGATCCCATCTTTAGCACACAAAGCTATGTCTATTCTTACATCATTAAGCAGAGAAATTGACTGACACTTGCAGTGCTCAAATATCTATCAGCTCCTGGCGATGTAAGCTGAAAGTTAACAAATTCAGTCACAGAAAGAAGGTAGGTGAGACAGGAGAGGAAAGTAAGGAATGCTTTCTACTAATGGTCATTTCTTGGACCAGCCTGTAAATCACCAGGACATACACACGTATAGCAAAAATGAAAACAAAGGGCAGTGGAACTGAAAGTCTGACTGGTTTACTTCAGTGTGAGCCTATGTGGATCACAATCCACTTTCTCAGACACATGGAATATCATAGTGAAGTCAAACATTTATATACACTTAGTACATAAGCCTTGAAATAACACATAGGCATGTCCTGTTGGAAACACCATGTACGTGTATCTTTTGCATGTGTTTTGCCCTGTTAATATTTCATAAATCATAATTTGGTTGAGAATGCACATGGGTACAAGTGTTTACATATTAATTCATATCAAGCAAAAACCAAAGGGGGGAAAAACAAGACAAAAACATTGCGGCACCTTAAAGACTAACGGTTATATTTTAATGTGAGCTTTCACTTCCTTAAACATGTCCAAAAAAGCTCACATTACAATATTAAGTATTGTCTCCTATTTTAGACTATTAAATATGTCCTGTTTGCTCACATTTTCTGAACGTATCTTTAGTAGGGCACACCCTGAAAAATAAGACAAAAAATACAAACTTTTGTTTTCAAATTAACACATTTGCTACTCTATGCAATTTGTACAAGGGGCTTTACAAGGGGCCATCATGTTTATTTGCAATATCACTGCAGTTTTAGAAAATGAAAAAAACCCAAAAAAACAGCCTACCCATACACCCCGTCAGACACACGTCAATTCAAACCAACACTGTGGCACTTAAAAGTAAGTGAAAAATTATAAACTATACTTTCACGCTGAAACCGCAAAAGATTTGAGTTTGGAATTAGAAACTACTGTGAATTACCTCAGCTTCAGGGTTACATGGCTGAAGTAGGCCATACGTAACACCCAACTAGAAGGACGCCCACCCATACACCCCACCAGACACACGTCAATTCAAACCAACACTGTGGCACTTAAAAGTAAGTGAAAAATTATAAACTATACTTTCACGCTGAAACCGCAAAAGATTTGAGTTTGGAATTAGAAACTACTGTGAATTACCTCAGCTTCAGGGTTACATGGCTGAAGTAGGCCATACGTAACACCCAACTAGAAGGACTGGAAAAATCAAAGTCTATTTCTGCTCTAAACTATAACTTTTAAAATTGGAAAAAGAAGGAATGTCTGCTAATAAGAGTGCTTCACGGTGAAGTTGTCCCCCCCCCCATCAATTATACTATGTACAGAGGAAGGAATAAAGGGTGGAGATAAGTGATCACAGAAACAATCTTACACCACGTAGTGGAGGGGGGGGGGAACAGGCTCTACCCTGGAGATGGGATGGGGTTGTTGGTAATATTAATCTTTTTCCTTTTTGTATTATTAGATGAAGGGTCCCTGGAAACACACTTAAACGCAGGATCTGCTATGGCAAAGTCCCTGTCGTCTTTCCATTCCTATCATTAGGTTGCTGTACGACTTAAACTGGGCTGTTTTTATCCCACAGGAAGCCAGCAGGCATAGGAGTGCAGCCATGGCAATTAGAAGATCCATCATGCATCCAAAACAAAATATCCTCCAAGAAAAGGTGTGAAATGCAACAAACTCATTCAATACACTAAGCAGAAAGGGAAAAACAACAATATTCTCTTGCTATATGATATATCTTAGGGGCTAAGGACTTACATTGAAGGCTCCAAGTTATTCGTTATTTCTAAGTCCACAACACATACATCATAATCATACATTTGAACACAGAATTTTTGCTTCTCTGAATTTGGTAGAAATTTTCAGGCTTAACATAAACTCATCCCTTAACCAATGTCTGAGTATAATCTTCCGAGCAGTATAATTAGCGAATAAGAAAAGACACAAACATACCATAATCTGGAATGTATCTATGAACTGTAGGCCAAAGTAATCTGTTTCCACAAGGTCGAGATGATACACAATCTGATCAAACAGGTCTTGCCCCTTCACATGTTTCTGTTAAAAAAAGTAGGAAGAAAATACTGTTACATGTATCTATTTGCACTATGAAAACATGATGCTAAAGAGACTGAGCTTCTCTGCACAGTGATTTCCGAGTAGATCTGTCTATATGCTAGTTCCAAATTTATTTTTATACTTTCCTTCCTCCATAGAAGTCAATATACTGTACAAGGAATTGTTTCTCCCTCCTTTCTACTCTTAGCTATCCAAGAAGTAGGTCAAGCAGAGATAGAAACAGGCTCAAGGTCACCCAATGAACCTTTTGGCTAAGGAGCGAAGATCATTTGAGATATCTTTTTTCATATTGTCAGCGTAAGTCTAATATCCTTAAATCAATGTACCACAAAACAAGTCATACCCATGTGCATTCTCAACCAAATTCCTTCCAATGCTGTCTTTCATGAAGCAGTCAGTATACAGACATGATTAGAGTCCCTACCTCAGCTTGGAATCTTAATAAACAAATAAACATAAAAACATAAAAACATAAAAACATAAAAACAAACAAACAAACAAATAAATATATCAGGTCAGCTATAAAATGTATAGGTTGATAAGAATTGTCTGGCAGCCTCCCTGTTGTTTAACAATAAATGATTACATTTTCAGAATGTAACAAAAAGAAGGAACTAGATTGTCTTACATTGCCCAGTAATACTATACAAGAACCTTCACACAAACCCCAGCATAAATTGTCTTACTAAGCCTCTGAAACAATTGCAGTTTCATACCTGCCGATACTCCTCTCCAAAAGGAAACTAAACTAATGCCCACTAAATGAATTAAAAGTAAGAACAACAAATGTATTTTGATAAAATACACTATTAGAGATTTTTGTACACGAATTACATTAAAAAAGGCTAAAAACATAATAGTTATGATTCCTGGGCAGAAGAATGACTGTACAGTACAAAGTTGCATCACAATACCAGAGCACATTAATATGCAACAAAAGTAACAGGGTACACCTCAAAACTTAATAGAAACTAGGTTAGGTGCATCTGTGGCTTTACATCCATTTGGCTTTAGATCCATCAACTCTTCCACTCTCTTGGGTGCAATGTGCCAATTCATGGGTAAATATGGGATCTTCAGGAAAAGCAGAAAGGACAAACTTGAATCCATGCTACACCTAAAATGCTGGCAAAACACCAGGACATTACTTCCTTTGTACACCAAGGAAGATGTCTGCCAATTTATCTGAATGCTGATGAAAATATACATGTACTTTTGTGAGTTGGGGAATTTCAGAGTTCAGTTTTAAATCTAAGCAAACATCTCAAGGATCAAAAGAGTGAATTAGTGCCCATGGGGCAAAATCCTGCTTTGTAAGGTTATGTGGGCATAACTTTGCACAACAGGATTTTGCCCATAGTCCTGTCTTCCACAGAACAATGTTTTGCAAAGGAACAAGCCTGCAAGTTCCACATGGGTTACTGTACAAGACTGTAGCTTATTCTAGTTCCTTATTTAATGTACAGTTGAAACAATATGCTGAAAATGAAACAGAAGCTTGCATATCTTTGTATCCCAAGACAAACTTTGTGCCACCCTGAATCATAACACAGACCTCAAACCACATTCTCAAGTGAAAAGCTGTTTTTGCACCACCCATATTCAGACCCAATGCCCCTAGACCAGCGGTGGTGAACCTTTTTGGGCTCGCGTGCCCAAACTGGGGAAAAAAAGCAGGCAGTGTGCTGTGGCAGCGGAACCAGAAGTGGCAGTGGAAGGGCGAATCCTGGCATGCAGTTGCCTCGAGACCCCACTCTGGATCCGCTGCCAGCAGCAGATGCTCCAGATCCGCCGGCTGAAGCGTCAGCACCATGACTGCAGCTGCCTTCTCAGGTTTCGCTGTGCAGGGGGGGGGGAGAGAGTAGCGATCCGGCGACTTTTGGCTCGTGTGTTGGCAGAAAGGGCTCCGTGTGCCAGCTGTGGCACACGTGCCATAGGTTCGCCATTTGCTGCCCTAGACCAACACAAGAGTAAAGAACAGAAGATTTTGTGCTCCAAAATAAGCTTTTTACTCCCTCCAAATCATATACCCCTGAGACTACACACTTTGCAAGATGTGCTAGCATTAGGTCTGACATAAAGCTTCATTTTTGTTAAGATCACTGTCAGACATAATGCTCACAAATATCATTGCCAATACACTACAAATAAGGGAAATAATCTTTGCCTCACCTCCAGATGTATGCCCACTAGTTAAGTGGCCGTTCTTTGAGGTGACACAGTACTGTCACTAACACTATCACTAACCATGGTCTTCTATTTCACGCAGCACTTTAAAACACACATTAGCCATTTGTCAATAATTGGCAACAATCTTATCAAGAAGCAGCTAGGAGCACTGTGCCCTGGAATAAACTGCTGTAAATCATGAACACCCATCTCCAGGAGACTGTTTCCCAAAAACTTCCCTAGCAATGTGATTTTAAAACTGTTGTTCTGTTATAATTTTATTCTTTGTGAGCCATCTTGGGTACTCTATGGGGAGAAAGATGGCATGCATACATGCATACATACATTGAGCAAGGGGTTGGACTTGATGGCCTTGTAGGCCCCTTCCAACTTCACTTTTCTATGATTCTAGAATTCTGTACAATCCTGAAAACTGCATTTTTTGGTAGACAAAGGGTATGAGGAAGAAGTGTTATATTGCTATGAAATCTAATTACTAAAAATGGAACTGATATATATTTTACCCTCTTGCTAATAATTTCCTCTTTTAAAAGTTGGAGGAAGTTAACAAGTGGATCTGTTGACATGGACTCAGTACTAACTGAGAGAAAAGAACTGATTGATGATAGGAAAATAGCAGGGACCTTAGGGGAAAGTAGCCACATCATCTTGGATTCGTGACAGCAAAGACTATGAAAACAAAGCCAAGTCAAACTAAGGCTCTTTGAAAAGCCTATTTCAAAGTACAAGAAAAAGTTGGGTAAGGTCCCACAATTAGAAATTCTGCATGGATAAAATAAAGAGTTGATTGTGCCGGGGGGGGGGCGGCGGCGGGGGAGATTTTAGAAGCTGGAATACTAGAGGCACAGTTTCTAATTACTGGGGGTTAGGAACTGGGACATTTTTAAGAAGTCAGTATGGTTGCACAGGGAGTTGTCTGATGAGCAGAGACTGAAGAAAGACATGCAAAGAAGATTAAAGGAGGGACACACACACATGAAAATGAGTACAACGAAATACCGTGAATTTGTAAGAATAATGTCAGAAAGCAAGCAAAAAAATAAAAGGCTTCCTTAGCTACAAGGAGGAAAAGAAGAAAAAGCTAGATCTACTGTTCAGGGAGAAGGGAGAATTTTGAACAAGGGAGAATACAAATAGTGATACTGAACTCCTATTCTGAGTCCCTCTTCTACTACAAGAATTATTGGGTTTTGTTTGAGAAAAGAAGAACAAATGATATACAGATGGGCTTCCCACCCAAAGTTCCGAAGGAGACAGTCAGAGAACACCTAGCCCCTTTAAATGATTTCAAATACTGAGGGCCACATGAGTTACATTACCAAGTCTGGAAGGAGTCCTGAAGGTGGATCTTATTTCAGAGCTCAGTGCTCTCCATGAGAATTTCTGGAGAACAGGTGTGGTGCCTAAGACTAGAGATGGGTAAATGTCCCAATTTTAAAGATGAATCTAGGAAACTATGTACTGTATCATTCAGCCTGATATTAATACCATGGTTTTAAAGATGAATCTAGGAAACTATGTATCATTCAGCCTGATATTAATACCATGCAAAAATGAATAACTAAGCATTCAACTGATGAATACAAAAAAACCCTTCACTGATTGTTTGGCGTCAATATATCTTTAGAATGAATGTTAAATGGATTAGTATTCCTGTTTTTCAGACCTAGGACCTTCAGCTCCATATTACTAACAGAGAAGCAGTTTTTAAATGCATCACACATACCTGCCCTTTTACACCTATTTTTAAAAACTGTCTTTATCAGTGTATTTCTTAACAATATCTAAATAATGGTAATAATCATAATGGTCCTAGTCCACCACTCTGAGATCAATGGTTTGTGGCGTCACCAGAGACTTTATTGCTTAATGCAAGCAAATGAGCCATGATTACATTGTTAAGATTCATCCCTGCTAAATATCAAGGTCAAAAGTATGTCATTAGAACACTGATCTCAGAGCATTATAAAACATTATAATACCTTTTGGTAGTTTTAGTCTGCAGTAGTCCATCACAGCTGACATTTTTCCCTGAAAGGGCTAATTTCAGATTTTCCAATCATATCAACGTTCATCTGGGTATCATTCATTCCCTGAGTATTTCATTAAGAATATTCCAATAGGGTCTTTATAACATGAAACTCAAGCCAATAATTTTACAAACAAAATTTCTTTTCAATTTTGTTAGGACAGTTTCCTAGGGTTTTCTTTTTTAACATGTCATTTGTATAAACAATATCTGTCATTCTGATATTTTTAAAAGTTATATGGCACACATAGGCATGAAAATTCGTACCTTTCCTCCATTCTAATACCTCTTTTTAAAGACTGAAAAAAACCACCCTTGTTTACTGCTTCAGTTGGATTTCTGAAGCACTCCGAAGTAACTATAACCTGGACCACAGAACTATGTCAACCCTGTTATTCCAGATTATTGTGATCAGTTTGCAATTGTAAAACAGATTATTGTGATCAGTTTGCAATTGTAAAAGAGTAAGACTATTTCCTGGCAAGTAACAGAAGATACAACTGTTACTATTGTTTTTGCCTATGCTATTATTATATTCTATGTCACCTTGATTTTCCAAAGCTGAGGTGAATAATAATTATGTCCAATAATATAAAATAAAAGCTTCTTGGAAAGTCATAGTCATTGGAAACCCAATAAATATTTGCTAAGTTATATTGCAAATACTTCTGAATCACTAAAAGAAGCAGTAAGAAAAGACACGTGAATAACTCATGCTTCCAGATTTTATTCACGTGCACACCAATATGGTGGGCTGTGT